AGCTCGTCCACCCATATAATCAATAAAAATAAAAAAAAGATAAAGGACTTTTAGCTCTTTAGTTTGTTTTTTTATAAACATAACAATTTAAATTCCTAAACCAATTCAGCGATGTCACTCCCAATGTGACTTCGTCGAGTAAAACTTTAGCTAATTTATAAATGAAATGAATTGTTCTCGACTTACATATGTATACTAAGTTCCATGCGAATAATCTGGCACGGAGAGATAATGAGTTGCCAAAATAGATTGCGAGTCGGCAATCGAGTACGACACAGTTTTTGTTACAGGGCCAAGTTCGGTGCAGAATCTCGGTCAAGTTGAGAACCGGTGTTAATCATAAATGTTATTGTTTATAAAATTCGTGTTGATTCAATCGCTTAGTTATTGTAAGACGTAAGCAACGTATGCAAAGATTACGAGTTGAGGTTATGGGTACGACGACACAAATAACTCATAACAGTCGATATTTTTTTATTTTTTTTATTGCCCTTGTAGGTAGACGAGCATACGGCCCACCTAATGGTGTGTGTGTGGTTACCGTCGCCCATGGACTTCAGCAATGCCAAGGGCAGAGCCAAGCCGCTGCCTACTTATGCGATATGTCGAGTAATTAATTTTCCATCCAGCTCAGCCAGTGTTATTACATGTTTAAAATCTTACTGAATTTATAACATTTTGTCACAGATACAAACAGATTTTACTACGAAAAGTAAACACACAACATACAATTCTTTAATTATAATTTTTAATCATTGAATTAAAAACAAAGTATTTTATGTTGCGATAATCATAAAGAAATATAAAAAAATGTTTTTCGATAAAGTATCAATTTCAAAGTTTTCTCAAGCACTTCCGGATGTGATACATGGGCATTGGCTTAATGCCTTTCAGATACGTGACATCAAAAGATTTGATACGAGACACGAAATCGAAGTTCGATCTGTGAATAATAAAAGAAAGTAAGTAGTCTTTGTGAGTGTTCCGTAGAATTGAAAACATTCTGGAAGTTTTATAAATTTTGTACGAGAAAACTAGGGCCTTGGTCCTATGTTTTTCTCACTTGACGCTTACAAAATACTGGTCGTTTTTCAAGAGGTCTTAACAAACGATTATTACCGTCGAAGGGTGCCAGACGTCGAGTCTCATCGGTATTACTGACCGTCATATAAATTTTCATTAGTCGGGCTCGCTGGGAATTCCTTCATTCGTAATAAACACGCGCTACGTGGCCATATTTTTCCGTTCTTTTGAACGCACCGGTTCTGGGACTCGCGGATTACAAACGGACTAACTTTGTAGTTAAACACACTATTATACTATTGATCAGAGTTCAAGGCATTCGTTTCTTTCTAAATTCAATTTCTTATCGGCTAACTGGGACAAGAAACTTGAAAAAACAAATAATTTGGAACAAATCACGCATGGTCATCCGGTCCCTAATTAGGATTCCCAGTATTATGGGTACCTGATACTGAAATACAAACTTATATACATTTAAATATCTCCATTCTTAAATAATAAACACCCATACAAAGAGCAAATAAACACTGCTCTTGAGTTGTTAGGTCTCCATCGGAGGCGCCCGAACAACTGTTAGCAAATCCCACCCCTTCTGGTTGAGCCTTTGCTCTCCCACCAGTCCAATCATAAAAAAGCAAATAAACCTGTTCATCACAAGAATGTTTGCTCGATGTGGCAATCGAACCCGTGACCCTCGGCGCGATAGTCAGGGCTGCTAACTACTGCACAACCGAGTCAAACAAATAACTTTTAACTTTACAATAAATTTCAATGCGTTGAGCGTACTTATGTATTTCTCAGCGCGGTAATGCAAAACGATGGTTTGTGTGCTTTTTACAGCCGCATAAAATTTACAACAGCGTGTGAGTAAAATCAGAATTACTGTGTGCTTCGAAATACATAAGTTTTCTAAGCATTTATGGAAGTCGTTCTTCAGTTCTTATAGCTGCTGTTGTTTTATCTATGGTTACAGTTTCAATTCCATTCATGGTTTTATGTCTAAAAGAAAATGATTATTGATTTCAATAGTACATAATATACGTAGACGAGATCTATGTTCGTTTGTACATGGAGCCCACCTTAGACCTTTAAAATCACATACTTACTTGACTGAATTTACTTAACTTGTATTTTTAAAATAAATGCCTTGGGTTTTCAAGACAATGTCGAAATTCAACTGGAAAACATTCCATATCAAATTAGAGTAGAATTATACACGACAATGGCACTGACTGACTATTTAATCGATACTTAAGAATGTTGGATGTTGTGATTAATCTGATTAATGTGTGAATTTAATAATCTTAACATATAAAAAACTAAATTTATTAAAAAACACATCCTAAATTGAGTACCTTCTTTTTTATTGATATGTGTTAAAACATAAAGTACTATTATTATATCCACAATAGCAAGATACACTGGTACCTTGAATCATAATATTGTTTTTACAAAGTGTTAATAAGAACGCTAAGAATAGAAACTTTAAAAGAATTACTTCAATAGATTACTTCAACATTATACGGAGAAATTAATTATACATTAATAATAATATGTGCAAGCTCAGATTCAAATCGTAGCTGAAATAATGGAAAGCCATCTGATGTATATTATTTTCGAATAGACTTAATGCACGTAAATTTTCGAGTAAGTTCACAAAATGCGATAAGTTACTTTTGCGAGACGATGTACAGGAAAATTCACCCTCTTTTAATAATTATTTCTTAATATGTGTTAATTTGTTTCTTGAAAGGTGTTTTTACCATAAGAAAACTACTAAGACTATTTAAAAGATTATTGAAGCATTATTTGAAAACTTTTGTGTCTCTAAAGTTATATAAAGTATGTTATGTAAGTAAATATGCACGGATGTCAACAGAAATATTTCGAAGCTTTCTCTTTAGCGATTTAATTCCGCAGTGGGACGGAACATTAGTCAAAGTGTAAATTAAATCCACGTGGATGCTTTTTGACGATATCAATGGTTGTTTTTGAAAATATACAGATTGTTTATTCATCATCACAAAGTTGTTTTCTTTATTTAAATTAATTAAGTTAAGTGACAATACAAAAGCATCCTAACAAATAAATAAGCAGATGTATTTTTCAATGTTTTAATCAATCTACTTAATTAACTTCAGAGAATATTTACGCAACATAAAGCACTTTGTTGATTTCTAATTCAATGAAATGACCTAGATTTATTTATAATATATAAAAAACATATTTACTCTGAAATATGACACGAACTCCACAAATGCATTCATACGCCGACAGCGAATGCCGACGTCCTTTGGGAAATGAATGCTTGTACTATCATTGCACCGTATTCTCTATATACTGAACTAATGACATCCGACGCCTAGCACTTTGTTCATTCAACGTTCAGACTATCTAGGTTAATTTTATGCAAGAGCGCTACATCACTCCATTTTCCATTATGCCGCAATTTTTCTAAGTGAAGCTTAACTGCTTTCCGGAGAGGCTTAACCAATTAGTGACTTGTCTGTCTCTTGTTTTTGTAGATTTTCGAGGACTAAAGTTTTATATTCAATATCGTTTTAACGCTTAGTGATATTTTAGACCTTCTATTTTGCCTTAGAAGTTGACGTAATGATTTAAATCATACGAGTTTGAAAAATATAATAGATATACATAAAACATAAATATATATTTTTTTAAACATTGACACTGATTGTTAATTAAAATTTAATTTTGCTTCAAAATCAAATTAGTTTTGCACTTAAATTATTTAACAGAAAATAATATTGAATTGGTAATATCGTACTCAATGGCGGTAGCCACTATTTTCAGAATACTAACACTATAAACCTAATTATAACCAGGCAGAAAAGGTGTTAAGAAACGTAAATCATTATTGAATATTGAATTCAGATGAAATTACAAAAATATCTGTCTAAATATTCACCAGAAGATATAAGTAGGCGACTACGCATTTTTCTATTTTGGTGGTTCTACTTGACTAACATCCGTAGGCGATATTATTCTCACCACCAATACCCAGTATAACTCTTTATTGTTAGTATGCTTAAACACCGTACAATAACTCGTACTGTAGTACAAAGTTATTGAAGCCTCGACTTCACGTCACAAGGTGGGTAGTGGAATTTACGCTGCGGTTCTAAAGCTACAGACATTGAAACAGAACCAGGTGGGCTGTGGGATATTCTGCTAATACATATAGAGCCAAAAGAAAGAAAACGTAAAAAGAAAGATCATAAAACGCACATATAAACTTCGTTTCGTGCTACTAAATTATTTACATAACTTCCTATGTTCACGTTAACAGTGTTCGTGAGGAGAGACACGACCTCGGCCGTTCGGAAAAATAACATCCGCTGTAAATCGTCGTTCAAGTCAAGGCGTAATATTATTTATTCTCGATATTTTTGCGAACATTTAAACGGTTGTGAGTACTATTCTGATAATTAGTGAATTTTTCGCAGATGTCGAATTCTTTCAGTTATCGAATTTTATGGAATTGTAAATTTACTATACGAGTCACACATCCAGGCCACTAAACATCTGAAATAGCGTATCTATGTATTTTTATAATTAACATTAATTCTTACAAAATATAATCCGGTGTGATAGGTAAATAATATTATAACATTAGGTAATTTCATATATTTGTAAAACCTTTGCGTTTCAATAAAATATTCTCATTTGTTCCGACATCATATGAAAGCAATACAAAACATAAAAGTATTCAAAACCACTGTTTGTAGTGCTCATCCATATTGAAATAGGACCAAAGGAAAGAATATTTCAGATTGATTGTATACTTAAAAATATTTTTTTTCACCCTGAACAACGTAATAGACGTATCATATAGGTAACAAACAAGAGCCAGTTAATGATGTTACGTATTCCATGGTTCGTATTTTAATTATAGATTCTGTATTTTAATTCAACCTGAAAATAAAATTAAACGTTTTTCCTCTTTTCGTTCTCAGATCGTTGCACTTAATAAGATTAGGGAGTTTCAGACAGTTAAGCGAATTACGTGGGCGGTAAGTATTTGTGTAGGTTCTAAAAATACTACTATAATGTTGTACAAAACTAAGTATGAAATCAAAGGTTTTCGCGCGTACTAATGACAGCCGAGGGGACTAGAGCGGTCGCTTCATTGGGGTACCTCTCTTGAAATTTTATATTCTTTCAAATAGCGGTCAGCATCAACGTTTCCACCCTTCATAATGACGTAAATTTACTAATTAGATCTGTGGCGTTGTAATTAATAACAAATTTACAGTTTTATTTTATACATGTCTATTCTTCAAGTGTTAATAATTATTCGATCCGGGGGCAGAAACTATTCTCTACTACTAGGTACTGTATTCTACCAATAAATTTCCTTCGAGGCTCGAGCGATTACCAGGAAACCTTAGAGGGATCCCGGACTATGACTTCGCTCACCCTTCCTTGTGAAACTAGAAGGCTACTAAGCCATCAGCATTTCTTCCATCCCGAAAAAGAAGAGATAATTATTTCGAAACATAATGCTTCTGCTACATATTTAGGGATACCAAATTGCCATTTGCTAGATTTCAATTGCCATATATAGCTCTTTTGATTTTTAATGGCAACGAAGGCCAGGGTTAGGTTTGCTTACACGAAGCTGATGTGTAATTTATATTCTTCTATTTAAGTATACCAGGTTACGGCCCATCTGGTAATAATAGCCTATCGGATCCCAATATTATCACAACGAGAATGACTTCGAAATAGTAATTCTATTGCATAGCGGTTGCCCCACCCTTCGACCTGAAACGCATGACAGGCGGACAACAAACCCTATCATAAATACCCTGTGATCACTATAAAATATTTCTTGAGAATACCTATAAAAATATAGCGAATTTATGCGTCGTAGATGCTGTTAAATTTGAGGGAACACAAATAGCCATCTCTTTGACATTCATTCTATAAAAGTTGTTGAATAATATCGGATACTCAGTATGTACTTAGGAATAACGCTTGGAATACTTTCTAAAACTCCACACTTTTTATTGGCGGTAGGACCTCTTGTGAGTCCGCGCGGGTGGGTACCACCACCCTGCCTATTTCTGCCGTGAAGCAGTAATGCGTTTCGGTTTGAAGGGTGGGGCAGCCGTTGTAACTACATGAGACCTTAGAACTTATATCTCAAGGTGGGTGGCGCATTTACGTTGTGTATGTCTATGGGCTCCAGTAACCACTTAACACCAGGTGGGCTGTGAGCTCGTCCGACCATCTAAGCAATAAAAAATATATATATATTAACAAATTTTCTTCTTTAAGACTCTTATAAAATGTTTTAGAAAATTTAATTTCATTTTCCTCAAAATATGCTCATGAAGATATGCTATTTCACGATTACGTTCACGTTTCAATAGTTGTTTATTCAAGTTACGATGACCTACTTCCATTCGGATGAATGTAGGAGCTTCGAGAATTTTACGTCCATTGAAAATATTTGAATTCTTAAACCAAGTGGAAGGGATTATTATTGGTATAGGTCTATAAGGGTACGCATCTCCCCTTTGTCTATTTGTCTGTGAATGTTACATGATAAAAATTGTTACTTCAACCTCAAATCTCAAAGTACGATATTCGTTTTCTAATATCCATGAGAATGCGTATTAGATTTGACTGAATATTTGATAGAACACATTTTTAATTGATGATATTGATAGAATCGTATTAATATCTGGTGATGTTATTACTAAAAAAAATGCAATAGACAGTTATTTATTTCATATTTTTTAGTAATTAGTATTTGCGTAATTGGCATTCCTTAATTCTATCAATATCATAATAATAAAAAATTTTGCAATCAATACTCAGTTAAAAAATACTTGCAGAAATAGTTATATAAGTTCGTCTGTCCATCCGTAGTCTTAAAAAATACCAAAGACTTCTTCTTAGTTGCTTGATAAATAAAATTATACGGGCAAATTAGACTATAAATCATTTTTGCAATGTAATTTCTCATATTTACAAATATCTATTAATTTACAATCAGGAACAGTGAATTTACATATTTATAACTCTAGTTTAATCAGTATTATTTTACTTAAATCTTAATCTTGAAATTTAAAGTATTTGATAAGGTTTTACTATGTTGACAATTTAAAATGAATACTTACTATATTAACACTGATTTCCAGTAGTAGCGAAGATTACGAGTAATTAGGGCTTTAGAGTGAGAAACCTTATGGCTAGGATGACATGCGTTCTACGTGAAACACTTCACGTTAGCCCCAGCTTGATTTGTGTCAGTTCTGTCTCATCTGAGCGACAGGGGACTTTAGGCAATCCAACTGTGATATTTCCTGCCTTCAATGCGTAGGCGGAAGTCGGGCGATTTTCTCCTAACCCAAAAAAGTTTATGTCCGAAGACTTATAAATGGCTGTGAAACTTTTTTGCCAATAATAAAAAGGGTCGTGATCAACGTTTTAATCAGATATTTGATTTTGACTTAACAATTAAATATTCGAAGTTCCTCGGAGTTTAAAACTTTTTAACCCAACTGAAAGCGTAATTGGACTCAAAATAGGAATGAATTGGAAAGTTTTGTTTTTATTTCAAGAATCCGTACATATTTAACTTGAAAGTTGAGTTTTGTTCGGAAACATACTAATAAACCGTAAATAAGGGCGAGCAGCAATATAAAGTCGGTAAATTTCTTAATTGTTCCAACCGCTTCATTTAGAAATTGTATTACTAAACTGTAAGTAAACTGTATAAAACTCAATCCTTCTTGAGTTTTAGTTTGATGTATAAAATAGCTATTGTTACAATAAAGAAACTTCTGCCTTAAGTCCTAAAGTTTTTTTATTTTATCTTAGAATTTTAATGCATGGTTGAGTGAACGAGATCTGAGAATCCGAAGATAGGTGGTCACCGGAGTTCCAGACCCATATTAAGGCACTAGCGACCCGCCCTCGCTTCGCTTCGGAAACATTAAAACACACATGAAACCAAAAAATAAATAAAAAAAAGTAGCCTATGTTCATCAGGGACAATGTGGGCTTCTAATGGAAAAAGAATTTTTCAAATCGGTCCAATAGTTTCGGAGCCTATTCGAAACAAACAAACAAACAAATCTTTCCTCTTTATAATATTAGTATAGATATAGATTAGTTCTAAATTTCTGTTCTATAGTATAACGGCTACCCCCCCGCTTAGAACCAGAACGCATGGCTGGTTCGCAGCAGAAATAGGTGAGATGATGGTACCTATTCGTGCGGACTCCTAAAACGCCCTACCACCAGCATAATCTCGAACAAAGGTCACCCGGCCCATACACTCTTATCTCCATGCGCAACATTCATCTGGACGGTTAGACTTTTTTTATTACCCTTCTAGAGGTAGACGAGCGTATGGTCCACCTGATGGTAAGTGGTTACCGTCGCTGCCCACCGTTTAATACTCTCCACAAGCCTCTACAAGATATGAGTAGTAGTCAGAATAGGAGAATGTGGTTACCAAAAAACATACCAAGGGTGGAAATATCGGACAATTGCTTGCCCAATCCCTAAAATCTAAGATAAGATAGGCTAGACAGAGGTTTTTAAATTAAATACAGAAGTGTAATCGCCGTCGTTCGTGAACATTGATGATACCAGAGGCAAGACCGAGCACTTTACACCGCTAAGGACTTTTATCAAGCCTCGTTTGAAAAATGAAATGTCATGTAGCTCGATCGAATGGAATATGGTTACCGAACAGAAACTTGGAGCGATTGCGCTTTTGTATTTGATTATTTGTATTAAATTTGTAATTACGTTATTGTGTACAATAAAATCAAACAATAAATTAAATCGGATATAAAATGAAATTAAAAGTCAACATGGACCTAAAAATTGCTCCGATGATGTTCAAACTAACCAAAAAATAATTAATTTAAATTTTAGTGACTAACTCAGTGGTACAATAGTTAGCGCCCCTGACTCACGTCATTTCGAATCCTCCTGATCCACTAACGGTGCTTTTAGGTCCTCAAGCACAGGTCATCGTTCCCGTCGCTTGCGACGAAGGGCTCGGCGAGTAAATTAACCCACAGACACAGCCCACTGAGTTTCTCGCCAGATCTTCTCGGTGGGTCGCGCTTCCGATCCGGTGGTAGATTCTCCGTAGCACGGCTTTTGCTAGGCTACTTGTTAGCAATAACGTCAGGTTTGAGCCCCATGAGCTCACCTACTCGCCCGGTTACGCTGACATAGCCTCTCAAGGCTATCAGCTTAGACAGGAAACAAAACAAATAAAGCCCCTGACTGTTGCGCCTAGGGTGGTAGGTTCGATTCCCATATTTTTTTATTGCTTAGATGGGTGGATGAGCTCACCACAGCCCACCTGGTGTTAAGTGGTTACTGGAGCCCATAGACATCCACAACGTAAATTCGCCACCCATCTTGAAATATAAGTTCTAAGGTCTCAAGTGTAGTTACAACGGCCGCCCCACCTTTCAAACTGAAACGCATTACTGCTTCACGGCAGAAACAGGCAGTGGTACCCACCCGCGCGGACTCACAAGAGGTCCTACTACCAGTAATTACGCAAATTATAATTTTGCGGATTTAATTTTTATTACACGATGTTATTCCTTCACCGTGAAAGACAATCGAGAACATTTGTTGAGTACGTATTTCATTAGAAAAATTGGTACCAGCCTGAGATTCGAACACCGGTGGATCGCTCAACATGAATGCACCGGTCATCTTATCCGTTAGGCCACGACGAGTTGGGCAAACATTATGCGATGAACAGGTTTGCTTGTTCTTTGTCTGGGTGCTTATTGCATATATGTGTTTACATTTAAACGTATATAAGTATACATATATTATGTCAGTCTCTGGGACCTATAATACAGGGAATCCTTATTCGGGGCAGGTCAACCGTGCGCGACTTGTTAAAACAAAATCGGGTTATTTAAACAATATTTAATTCAACTATTTCATGTTAACAGAGCGTGATACCTTCAGCTACGCGTGACGTCACCAGGTTATTTAAATTAAGAAAAGAAAAATATATAAAGAAAATTATTATTAAATATTTCGTTTCTCCTTACCAAGTAGCTTTTTAGCTTGAACAATAAGAATATTAATTTGATTACAACACTTAATTACATTCACTTTATACTACGTTACGCACTACGCTGATTGCCTAGTGTGTGCATAAATGATGCGTGTAATTCGTAATCCTAGCATAGATCGTTGCGTTCTGATGCTCAAATCTTCATTGATGGTCTAATCTATGAGCACGAGTAATTGCTAAGTAATGCCTTCACATTTACCTGTTCTCAGAAATAGTACACGTTTTGCTTATTACTCACGATCTCAAGTAGCTGCATTTTGCAGCTTATTATTTTTTAATGTTGTTCCGAAGATTTGTTATATTTTACATAAATTACGAACCATATTATACAATGAAAAACAGACTTGATTTGTAACGGATCTACCCACTAACATGTACAATACAGCAATATGTTCAAAGTATTTTTGTCAGTAATATTGATATTTCCCATTAATTATACTTTTTCCCAAACTACCTCAATTCCTTTTTTAGTGATTTTAGTACCTTTCCATTTTAAAGATAAGCTTTCTTATTAGTGGCGTTATTTTGTTAGATGGTAACCGAAGCCAAGTCGATGTACAAATAAAATATGCACTAAAAAATACGAGTTTGGTCAATTTTCTGGTCAATCTACTTTTATTAAATGGACTTGAAAACCAGTGATTTATTAACAAAGACAAAACAAATCACTACTACTCACTCAAGAAACCATATAAACTGGTAATGGCTGTCTATATTCGTCACGACTCGTCTAGCCACAGGTTTATAGGCACAGGCAATGAGCCAAACCGCAAACATTGAACTGTGGGCAGTAAATGATCACACGCTTTTAGCAAAATGCAGCTTACGATGCCGTGCACACTTTCGGAAATCACAAGTCGATCAGATTATGAGCAGGAACAATCAGAAACATAAACAGAACGAGCTAGCTATTTGGCGTTATCTTTCTGTTTCACAGAAATAGATCATTGTGAAAAATTGCCTAATTTGTAGGCGAGCTGTGGAATTCTCAGCAGCTATTACTTTTTTTTATTATTATTCCCCTTGTACAGACGACCATACGACCCACGTGATGGTGAATGGTTACCGTCGCCCATGGACTTCAGCAATTCCAGAGGCAGAGCAAAGCCGTTGCCTACCGTTCAAATTTATGAGTTTTCGAGTCAATATTCAATAAAATGTCTCTTAAAATAGAAATTGCGGTTCAATCTTGTCGGTCGTTTAATGAATAGCTAAAATTAAACATTAAACCCATATTTTAATCATGTCTCGAGACTTGTGAAAATCGAAAAGTTTTACCAAATTAAAACTATTATAATATTACAGTATAACCTTGGGTTTAGTATTTCAAACGTTTTGAATACTATAAAGTTTTGTTGTTTAGACACATCACCTAAGACCTTATTCAATATTTTACTATTTTATTAACTACCGCCTAATTCTCAATAATTTTGTTTTTTAAACTAACTCTTCTCTTTATACCTTAGGTATTTTGTGTCTAAGTCCGTCTTTGTATTTTGTGATAAGACCTTTGCGTTGAGAGGAACTACTAGGAATATCGTTAAGTAATGAATATCTTTCTGGCGAAAGTAAAGTCGAATGTAAATCTGAGTAAAGGCTGTGTTGGGAAGTTTAAAGTGGTTCTTGTGTTGCGAGGCCTACCCCCAGCTATTGTGGCACCACTTGACCCGCTTGTTTGAGCCCCGTTCTAGTGAAACATGCTACAACTCAAATCTGATCATTATATCGAAAAACATATTAAGCTTAATTGGAATAATTTGTTACTGCGAAAAATTATATGTCTATACTATAATAATAATAATAATAATATTATAAAGAGGAAAGATTTATTTGTTTGTTTGTTTCGAATAGGCTCCGAAACTACTGGCCCGATTTGAAAAATTCTTTTTCCATTAGAAGCCGACATTGTCCCTGATGAACATAGGCTACTTTTTTTTATTTATTTTTTTATTTTTATTTTTTTGGTTTCATGTGTGTTTTAATGTTTCCGAAGCGAAGCGAGGGCGGGTCGCTAGTAAATAATAAAATGAGGTCATAGAGGAGAATATTTAAAACATCTGGGTGAATGTTTTCGGTCATCGACAAAAATAGATAATTAATGGACAGTTATTTGTTTACATTAGTTAATGCATAATATTTAAGCGCAAGTGTTATTCACAGAGCTATGATCTGACAACTGTTTGAAAACTAAATAAAAGTACATTATAACAAATAATAGAACTCAAAATTTGCATTAAAATCCATATTTCTCCAGTCTGAAAAGTTAAAGAGCTTTTATTGTACTCTAAAGACATCAAGGGCATTGAAGTGAGTAACCTGATAAAGTCATTTAAATATTACATATGATTTATATTTTATAAAATAGTTCTTAGAGAGAAAATAGTTTTATGCTACGTATGTATGTAATTAAATATGTTCGTTCGTCATTTACTAATTCATTTCACTTAGACTGTTCAATTAATGAGTAAAATAAAATATGTCTTAGGTGGAGACTCAACTCACTCACGTTAAGTTTGAATACAAAATTAAAAGGAATCCATATTATTTTTATGTTATATGCTTGCCCAGAAATATTTCTAATGAAAATCACATTTTTAAATTATAATGAATGATTGCTTCAAGGCCCAAATAAACAAGCTTGTGGTACCTACCGGCGCTCACAACACTACCACCACAAGCTCAAAAGATTACCTCTCAGAGATTACCGCTAAAATACAATATCGCCGGTAAACCCATAATACTAGATTTACATTTAATATTGGATCAAAACAAATATTTGTCTGTAAATTGAAAAGTCATTATTTATGTATCGATATCAAATTCAACTTACAGGGCTTTAAAGTACAAACCCAGCAAACTTAGGCAACCAATATAAATTAATTTTAAAAGAAACACTAATTAGGATCATCTTCACAGAGGAATATATCTTGTTCTTCAAACTTTACTCCTACTTAAACTTCGCTGTATTTAATTCATTCAACTACAAACGGTGTTTCTAAGGAACATTGAATATTTTTGAGAAGAAAAGTCCTTCTTTTTAAAACTGAATATGGAAACTTCCAAAGAAATTAATGTTTTTCACGCTTCGTGTCTAGGTTTATTATTACTACACTTTTCTCCTTGTTGTTAAATGCGCTATGCTGGTGTGTCGATGGTCAAGGATTGATTGACGAACTTACTGGTAGCCTTGTGATAAATGACTATTAGAGCCCATTTAATAACCTATTCATATCGAGCGATGCAACTGCGCGTCACTCCAATTAGTTCCATTTTTAGGAAACTATTTTTGAAAAGAAAAATGAAGCACTTATAGAAAGAATAACTTTGTTGTCCATCTGCCTATCTGTCCGTTACTTAAGAAGGTGCTTTTCTGGAACTGCTAGGAATGTGAAGTTTAAACTAGTAGCAAACATTAGATCTACGACGGAAAGAATTCGTTATAAATCTCCAGCTTCTCATTCAACACAATCAAAATATTGTATATAACCCTATTTTGTTACTCATAAAAAATTAAGGGGCACTTCCCGTTGATCTGAAATCATAAAATTTAACATGAGTCAAGGTCTTATCGTTAAAGTTAAGGGAAAAGTTTGAAANGTTTAAACTTTATCTAATTTAACTTTTTTGTATTCATGTCTATGATAATAAAATCCTTTTGTTTAAACTTTATCTAATTTAACTTTATTTAACCAATTTCTAGAAAGTTGCATGTAGATCATTTTTCGAAAAATAAGGCCATAAACAAGTTTCACTTCTTACGTGTGTACACTAGTACACGCACACATTTTTTATATATAACCCTATTTTGTTACTCATAAAAAATTAAGGGGCACTTCCCGTTGACCTGAAATCATAAAATTTAACATGAGTCAAGGTCTTATCGTTAAAGTTAAGGGAAAAGTTTGAAAATAGTGTATTATTATAATAGACATTTGATAAAGAAAATTAACGAATAACGTATGAAAGGTGGATCATGCTTTCGTGTCTCTAGACAGCAGCTATCATTGTGGTATCAGCGTATTATCTACCTACTTACAATTGTAAAATATAGCATATTTTAGACAGCTAATTTTGGGCAAGGGCTTATCTAATATGCTTATGAATTTTTCACTTCAAATAACAATTCTCTAAGGTGGAAACCTTCATATTACGAGTATAATATTATGTTTTATTAATTTTATTCTATATATTCTTTTCTAGGTTGAAGAATAACGCGACATTAATGGAAGAAACTGCTTCGTCGAACACTAGTTATGGCTCAAAATCCTTCCCTTGAAACATTCCTTAATAGTTGTTCATCTTGTCTATTTATCAAACCACTACGTCACCTTTAAAAACATTCCACGTTGTGGTCGAAATAGATTTTTAAGCTTTGTGTCAAAAATAATTTAATTTTAATTGGGACATTTCGTTAAATTATATCCAGAACTAGATTGTAGTGGTAGTGAGTTAAAGTGACGCGCGTAAACCTCTTCGGAGGGCGCGAAGAATTTGCGCGATGCGGTCTCACCAGGGATGTACGTAATATATCCTGCGGATGAAGTAGTTTCCCTGACTTACAGCTCGCATTCGCTGCCCCGGCCCCGGCAGCGGCCTACACTTGATATTTTGGTTGGACCGCTGCTGAGTTTGCCATCCAGCACGCACCCCCTGCCCTTGGCCCCCACCCTCGTCTGCGGCAACTCTCTCAAAACGGCGCCCCCGGAGCCAGCGGAGCGCGCGCCGGCATCGCCGACGCCGTCGCTCGACCGCTCGAGCAAGGTGCGCGAGCGAACAAAAGCCAAGCTTTTCAAAAAGCTCGGACGTCACGAAAACAATGATTTCGGAAAAATTGTTAGGACACCCGCCCCCGACGAGTTTGAACTACCCGCTCCTTTGCCAACTCCAGCTTTTTCTAGGAAAAATATATTTGATCGCGATTTCGATGCGTTATTCGAAGTGGCAAGTACTCCGCAATTCGGCGCAAATATTCGCGTTACGACCCCTGAGCCAGATCATCGACCAGATGTATCAGCATCACATTTTCCTTCTCCTGCGGAATCATCTTTAAGTCTGCTTCCACCTCGGCCCAACTCTGAGCCGACACCCTCACCAGGGAACTCGACTCGCACTTCTACACCACAGCGTTCGTCTCTTGAAGGTTTAAACGAAAGTGTGGATTTCAGATCGCTTGTTTGTTGACTAACCGATTCTGCCTCACCAATTTAGCATGGTACTTATGATGACTGCGATGTGATAGTAAACTTAACATCATTTTCCATTGCATCTTTGTGGTTTTTTTTTAACTACGTGTGATAAGACGTTTGATTTAAAATAATAATATTTTCAAAAACGAAGGCTACTGAAATATCATAAATAAAAATTACTTAATTTTGACAGGTACTAACTCTAAATCGAAGAAAGTTAGTTTCTTTCGGAGGCTTGGCCGATCCAAAGATTCGACGCCGCCGAGACGTACCTCATCTTTTACCATGCAGCAACCATCAGTGGAGATGGCTCTTCGAGAGCTAACGCATCCAATTCATAATGAACAGCTCAAGAATCAACAGCAAGTCACCTTCAAGCTGGTTAAAACAGGTAAGATACTTTGAGCATGAACAGCTATTAAAACATAAAATTACTAGATAATTCTCTTTTTCTCCACCTTATCCCACTAGTTGGGGTCGGTACAGCTAATTTTTTCTTTCATTATCTTTTATCAGCCGTCATGTCAACACTCATTCTTTTCTCTCTCATATCGTCATTCACACACTCCAACCATGTCTTCTTCGGTCGACCTCTTCCCCCTCTACCTTGCACTACCTTTTCCATACATCTCCTAGTCACATGCATCTTCTCTCTACGCATCACATGTCCATACCACGCTAACCGTCCGCTCTTTAATTTGTTGATTACCGGGGCTACTTCCACACTTCCTCTGTTATACTCATTCTTTATCTTGTCCATTTTTGTCATTCCGCACATCCATCTAAACTCCACTCCTCTTTCATGCTTTGCTTTCGTCGCCCAACATTCAGACCCATACAGAACGGTAGGTCTAATGATCGTTTTGTAAATTTTTCCCTTTTATAATAACTACTAGATAATTATAACAGAATTTATCAAAGGTATAACATTCTCCTTAAGCAATTATAACTAGCTGGATTCGAATAGCAAGTTAACCTGCGATCAAAAACGTCTAAAGTGAAATCGGTTGAGACCGTTAATTAAATATTCCTATTTACCGCCAGCATACTCGACATCAAGACAAATCTAGTTAACGCGAGAACCGGCTTAATTGAATATACTCGATCATAATTCGATAACGATAAAACGGGAACAACACATCAAAAGAAAGGGCGCACATCAGTAACACTGCGTTCAGATAGCTACACAAATTCCATGATTGTTAAATTGACTATTTTTTAATTAATTTTGTTTTCGTCTTTCCATATCGAGGAATCAAATGAACTTGCCTAACAAAAGGTATACCGTAACAAAACCTGTACTTTCTCCGTACTACGTTCCTTTTACGTTTCGTAGCTCAAAGCGGCATAATGACTATTTCACGAGGCACGTCGCTAACACAAAGAACGTTTTTGTAGTAACTGTGTCTACAGTTGGAAGCCGTCACGTAGGGGCAGGTTTCAGCGTCAAATAGAATCATTTTTTCAATCCGTTCCGAGCGACTCGGTTCGGGAAACTACGCCGCTCTATTGAAATTGAATGACACTCGAAAGTGGGTCCTAGCTTTACATAATAATATATAGTTTCAATCGATTACATTTTTACAGCATACAAAGGCAAAAAAGGTAAAATATTCTTCTCACTTGGTGGTCAATCTACGGAGATTTTTTTAAATAATAGTTCGATCAGCTCACAGCCTACCTAGTACGAAGCGGTACACTATCCCGTAGTACAAGATATTACACACCACTACTAACCTTGAGGAATTTCGTCAAAATGTATATTGTATTGGCCTAACAATTATCAAGCTAAAATGAATTATTCCTTCGCAGTAGGAATAGGCAAGCATTGTTTTATCTATTTCAATAACTAGCGATAAAAGAGAATTAGATAGGAGACTGAGGTTCATCACTTTTAGTTCGTAACACAGGATTATAATATCTATGGGTCTTCAACTTTTACATTTTTTGTTTGGGTGGACTAAAATGAATAAAGTTGGCGACGTATTGAATAACGCTCAAACAATGTTTAAGTCTCCTTTGCAACGCGTAATACTTTAGGACTTCTTCTTTCAAAATGTCAAAATCCATTCTTAAATGCTAACGTGAATTATATGGACTGAAAGATTTTTTGTTTTAATATTATAATCCTGCTTTTGTCGAATTGAGGTAGGCTTTAACGAAAACGTGCTTCGAACGCACTTAAGGTAACGCTGAATAAATGAATGGAAAGCTTTCCTTTATGTGTTGTGCTTAGCAATATTAAAACGATAACAGGTAGAATAAAATTTGTTTGAATATTTTTTAGGTCGAGAATAAGAAGATAAAATCAGTATTCGTTTGTAGTGCTTTATTTTGTTACTTTTATTCTGTAATTCTCTCTATGTTTATATATTCTTTTAAAGGAAAAACTAGTGAAAAAGCTCTTGACCCATCTGATATTAAGTGCTTACCATAGCTCAAGACAACACAACATGAATGCATTGCCCACCTGATGACATGAGGTCAATAGTCAAATAATAGCTGTCCAATACTTCAGACTAGCCACCTAAACCTAGATTAGAGACTAGAGACCATCTAGCATTAATTCTTTCCGATATAAATTGGCAGTTTGGTGGTAGGTATTTACCCATGTAGGTTCACAAGATGCCCTACCAGTAATTACGCAAATTATATTATTATAATAAATATAATATATATAAATAATCAAATTATATTATATATAGTCGCATCGTTCGATATGAGCTTACTACACGTCTCATTCTGTACCCCACGGCGACTATGAGTTCTTTAATGTTAGTGATACTAAATTGACAGTCATATTTAGTGGTACTACATAAGCTTACTATACGCAACATTCAATTCTAAAAATTTGCGGTGTGGCAATATACAGATATCATATCTTTTAAACCAAATATTTATTATACCCTCTTAATTACCAGAAACTTGAAATAACGTAATTTTATTTATTGTAAATGCGCCACCCACCTTGAGACATAAGTTCTAAGGTCTCAGTTCAGTTACAACGGCTGCCCCATCCTTCAAGCCGAAACGCATTACTGCTTCACGGCAGAAATAGGCGGGGTGGTGGTACCTACCCATGCGGACTCACAAGAGGTCCTACCACCGGTATTGTAAAGCTCGCATTAGAGAGAGATTAGTTTTTTTTTGATAGATACCTCTTATGATGTACCCGGGCTGAAAGGCACAGAACACAAGAGCCGTAGTGCAAATATTACTACTCACCCTAAGATATGACGTTGAAGGCTTGATTGCTATATTATCTTCAACGCAAACACTAAATTGTTTTGTGCCAGGTACCTTGTCAAAATACGAAAACCAACATGAATCTCGTCTGTACTATTCATTAAATATTTACACAAATATTCCTCACCGTAAGCATTACTTGAGAGAACCAAGATAAACAACATTAATAGCTTTTCAGAAAATTCTTTAGAAAATGTTGATATCATCGACAATTAATTGTATAATAATTTTCTATAATTATTATATCTATGTATTAATACGTGAAGCAAAAACTTTGTATCCTTTTTGACGAAAATTGCGCGGACGGAGGAGTATGAAATTTTCCACACCTATAGATAATATAGAGAAGAAGTGCACAATGCTAATATTTTTTTTAAATAAGGCATAAAAAATACATTAAATCAATTAAGAAAACATTACACACACTACATACCATGTATTTGACGCACACACGCATGCATTTATTGTCAAACTTTTGTTCTTGACGTCTGCTGTCAAATTGAGATTAAATAATTTGTCTTTGTTAATATTTTTAGTGTAGTCTTGGCGAAATTTGTGATTATAGAAGTATAAAATACAATCATAATAGTGTACAAACTTACAATTCCAATTAATTATAGTCGAATTTCGACTACTGCGGGACCACTAGTATATATAATTATATTTATAGAATTATTAATAATTTTATATAATTATTATATAATTATTATTGTAAATAACTACTAAGATGGATCAATTAACTCACGGTTCGTTTGAGGTTTCTCTGCATGAACATAGTATAAAACAAAGTCGCTTTCTCTATCCCTATATCCCTATGTATGCTTAAATCTTTAAAACTACGCAACGGATTTTGAACGGATTACTGCTTCACGACAGGAATAGGCAGGGTGGTGGTAACTACCCGTGCGGACTCATAAAAGGTCCTACCACCAGTAATTACGCAAATTATAATTTTGCGGGTTTGATTTTTATTACACGATGCTATTCCTTCACCGCGGAAGTTAATCGTGAACATTATAAAATTATTATTGAAGTGTTAACTTTTTATGGGAAGGTAAACCGCTTCGTTACGTAACGCGTTACGGCGCCAGTCTATCTTCTCTTTCTTTCACGCATACGGCAGCGGTACTGAGAACGTATGTAATTTCTAACTATTTATATATCTCTTTCAATTTATGTTACAATTTACCTTACATTATTATATTATTATATAAAAAATAATAACCTAAGCTTTTTAATTTACAATTAACCTTACATTATCATAATAATATACATAAAATTTTAAATAATAACCTAAGCTTTTCTCAAGCTGAACAATTTCAATATTAAATAGTTCCACTTAGATTAGTACAAGTTATCACTTCGGTCGGTGTCTCGAAAAGCACAGGTTTTTTTTTGAAGTTATGCTTCTGTAGGCGCCTTATGAAAAATTGATGAGAGTGAAATTTTACGATGCGCGCGCTCCGTGACACAAAATTAACAGAATGAAGTTGCTCACTAAATCGCTCATTACAATACGACCGACGTAACTTGGCGAGTCTGAATATAGTCGCAGGTGAACTTTCGCGCATGTACACTCGTAAAAAAAAGTGTTATTAGCATTCATTTTTTAGTAATATAAATGATAAAATTATTATTTAATATAATTCATACTAAATATTATTAAATTATTAACGTTAAATATATATTATTAATTAATTAATATTTAAAAAAAAAGAAATAAATTTAATAAAAATAAAGTATAACTTCTTACCCGCGTACATAAGTACACGCACCCTTTTTTTTGTCAATGATAATACTGATTATAGTTTGTTATAAGTTCAGTATGATAAGTTAGGTCTAAACCTGTTAGTTTTTTATCATACAATGCAGGTCAACGTTGGATGCTAATATACAAGTGTGCCTCCAGTGAAACGGTTCTATTTGCGGGTCAAATCTCGTTTCGCGAATGCAATTTAGTTAGGTACCACAACACTGCTGCTCGCACGAGATTAACCCTGTTGCCGCAAACAGCGAAACAATTTATTCGTCATCTGGATTTTAGGAATTCCATCTAAAATAATTACTTGTGTTTTTTTATGTGAAGATGTAAATTCGTTAGAAATAAGTTAAAACCATCAAAATCGATACCTGTATATACTATCG